AGGCCTCGGTCCAATCTATTTTTTTTTGGCTTCTCCTAATTAACTCCCAACCTCCCCCCTCACCCCCAACCACCCCAAACCACCTCAAATGGCCCAAAATACCCAACCCAAAAACTTAAAAAAATTCCAAAAAAAAAAAATTTGGCCCGGACCGGGCCTGAATCGGCCGGGCCAGTTCACCATTCCTAGGGCCCGAGCCCGAACCGTATGACTAGCGGGTCGGGTTGACCCGAACCGCCCTATGGCCCGGTTCAAACAGTGACCGGTCCGGGGCGGTTCCGGGGCGGGCCGCCCGGCCCGAGTCCATCCTTACATCTAACGCCGTTAGAAAATTTAACCCCAGTTTTAAAAAGTCTCCGAAAAATTAAAAGAAAAATACTGGGAGGTGCGTCTCGTCAAGGAGATCAACAAACTATCTTTATTTTTTGTTTCCAGCCACCATATCTCCAGAAAGTCCACCAGAAAATTGATATTAGCGAATTTGTTTCTAAAAAATAATCCAAATAGAGCCGAAAAATCCAAAGAGAAAGATAGTTTGTTGATCTCCTTGACGAGGCGCACATCCCAGTATTTCTTTTTTAATTTTTCGGAGATTTTTTAAAATCGGGGTTAAGTTTTCTAACGGCGTCAGATGTCATGCTCCTGCTATGATAACGGAATTGAAACACATGCCCCACTTTGTTAGAAAATGAAACACATGCCTTTATTTGAAAATGGCCCAAATCACAAGTACGCTTTATGTACTTTTCCCGATATAGAACTATACACAAACAAGACCATTTGGTCACTGGAATGTGATCCTCTAATAATAACATTGTCATCCTGATATCATCCGGCCACATAGAGGAAGAGATATGATGTTACTTCCATAGTCACATTGCCATTGAGAGAAAAACTCTAACGTTCATCGAAAACATCATAATGGTTTTGTCATGCTGAATAAAAAACTAGCGTTATTGTCAAAAGAAGCTCTCTGTAATGTTAACATATAGATGGCCTTCTTGACATTGTGGAGAAAAACTTACCAAATTTGTATAAAACCTTTCAAATAAGGAGAGATAATTTATTTGTTAGTATTAATGTGGTTATCTCTCATGCCACGCGTGCACCGTGCACATTGTAGCATTAAAGATGTTCTTATTGTAGAGTTTGGGTAGAGCTGTTATCACAAAAGTTAGCTATATTATTGATGCGGATGGAATACATTGTTAAAGGGTCACAGTTAGGCATGGACCGGTACCGGGCCAGTCCAAACCGAGCTTTTTGTTTGTGGGTTAAGGCCCGGAACCGGCCAGGCCAGGATCGGGTCGAGTTCTATTTTTTTTAGCTTTTCTAATTAATTCCAACCCCCCACCCCCCAAGACACCCAACCCAACCCGCTTACCACCAAAACAATTCGAAAAAATGGGCCCGGGCCGGTACCAAGGGAGGTGCAGCCCGAAACCGCCCCCAAAAATACCCCGGCCCGGTCAACCGGGCCGGGACGGTCCCGCAGAATGGCGGTCCGGGCCGGTTCCCGGCTAGTCAGACCGGAACCGGGCCACCCCTAGTCACAGTTCACCATTCGACTTCTCCAAATCTGGGAAAACAATCAAAAACAGGGAAAGTAGCAAAAAAGATCAACATAGTCAACAAAAAGAAAGTAATACAGAAAGAACACCGGAACCCTATTGCCTTACTGCCCTTACACATGTAAAGTAATTACTTTACATGCAAAGTGTAGGGATCAAACAAGAAATGAAAAATAAACAAAACAATTAAAAAGAAAGAAGGGAGGTGATGACATATTAACAAAAAGACACGAAAAAAGCATAAGAACGGGGATGAAGGGGTGACTGGTGAGGGTATAATCAGGTGATTTCACATGACTGCTTTTGTTTTATCAGTGAGGCAAAGATGTTTTTATGTATTACTATTTTAAACTCAAATTATATCATACTTAAACATGTCAAATCAAAATAGAATTAGACAATAATAAGACTATCTTAATATAATAACTTTACCGGATCAAATTAGTGTAGATAAAAACAGTCTTAAAAAAAGATCTAAACAAATGAGAGAACTATGCATACATGATACCAGTGGCTAATACTTACATTTTGGGTGTTCAAAATTACACATTTTCTCTTTAAAATACTACTTCGTACTAAATAAATTGTTACTCTAATGTAGACACACACACACACACACACACAGGGTGCTCTTCCTGTCCGGAAATTCCGGACAGGACCCTGGTCCGGCCACCTCAATTCGAGGTGGTTCCCGTTGGTATTTTTTTGCTCAATTTTTTTGTGTATGTTCCTCATCAAGTCTAGTTCATCCATATCAATTTTGAGCAAAAAATTCATCCCAGCGCATGCTTGCCAAAATTTCGTAATACATCGGCCCATCTATAATTACTCCATTTTTTCATTTATGGATGTTCCCCTATTATTTTTCATACCATATTTGGTAACATTTGTATAACCATAATTCATTCTTACTCTATTCTCACTTTATCAACTCATTATCAACCACATAATTCTACTTTTCTTAAAAACCACACCACTCTCTTTCGTCCCATATTAGGGGAGCAAAGGTAATATTAGGTAGGGGTGGACGCGGTCCGGAACGGTCTGGTAAATTACTAAAACTCGTAATGTATCTATAAGGTTTCTAATGATCCGGTATGGTTCGGTTATAAGGATGAAATCATTCAGTACCACTTCATTTCAGAACAGTACAAAACAGTACGGTACAATGCCAAAGACATGCTAAAAATTTGGACAAATCTTTCAATAAGTAGATATCATCACACCAACCGATTCACATGAAATATTGATATAAATACAAGCAGTAGCATATAGAGTACTAAAATTCACAAATACACAAATAGTGCAACACAACTAAGAAAAAGTATAACAAAATGATCATACACGAGATAAATATCATCTTTAATTTACTAAGTTCATGTGAAAATATAAAATGATTATCATCAAATTATTGAATATAATAGAAAAATTCAATGATCTTCTTTGTCCTAGGTAAACTGTTAGTTCTAATTTAATTTATAGTTGAACCGTGAGAGGTAAGATTTAAATCATACTTCATCCGTCCCATTTTATCTGTCCTACTTTCTTTTTTGGGTTGTCCCAAAGTAAGTGTCTTCTTTGGAAAGAAATATGTGGCCTACACCATTTCACTTTATTATACTCAAACCTCAACCACAACTTTTACTTTTTCAACCACTTCATTAAAAACCGTGCCAAGTCAAACTAAAACACATAAAATGGGACAAAGGTAATATTAATTAAGTTGTAAAATTACACAAACATGATACAACAAAAGTTCACATACACTACATTACTAGAAAGAATTAGTCATTAATGATTTTTAAAACTTTAACATTCTTTTAATAATGACCAAAATGTAATATAAATTATCTAAAAAGAAAAAAGAACAATATATATAGGGCAGTTCACATCAGGAGCTCCTGAAGAGAAGCCCCGTGCAGACAAGACCATTAGGGGGTCTTCCTGGTGGAATTTTTTGATGAAACGTTTTGAGCATGTTCCTAGTCAAATCTAGTTGTCCATACAAATTTCAGCTCAAAATTCGATCGAGAAAGCATTCAAATAGATTCTTGAAAAATATGGCGCATACTGCGCACATATAATGTGCAGTATGTTTCCAGGATTTATTTGACCGCCTTCCCGATCGAATTTTGGTGAATATGGAGTATTTATTATTAATAGTCTTAATAATATAATATATATAATACTCCCTCCGTCCCGCTATGATTGTCCCATTTTACCTTTTCGGTCCGTCCCACTAAGATTGTCTCATACCTTATTTGGTAAAGTTTGTGTGATTCTAAATCATTCCTACTTTATTCTTACTTTATCAATTCAATATCAACCACATAAACCCACTTTTATTAATAACTGTGCCACTTTCTGTTGTCCCGAACTTAGAGGGACGAAGGTGGTATGTGTGTGTGTGTGTGTGTGTGTGTGTGTGTGTGTGTGTGTGTGTGTGTATATATATATATATATAGAATAAAGATCAAATGAGAACAATGCTTAACGTGAGAACGTGAGAACACCACATTTACCCCAACGTGTTGCACAATGAAGCTTGTATATTGCACTTTTTCACGTTTTCACAATAATCACCAAAATGTCACCGTGTTTATTTGATATAGGCTTAAATCGAGCAAATTGAAAATGTGCAACAAAAGAGCTCCATTGTGCATCACATTGTTTTAAATGTGAGTGTTCTCACGTTCTCACGTTAAGCATTGTTCTCATTGGAACCGCACCCTATATATATATATATATATATATATATATATATATATATATATATATATATATATATATATATATATATATATAGGAGGGTTCTAGTGAGAACCCCTCTTAAAATGAGAATCCGTGAGAACCCCTGAGAACCGGTGGTATTTTTGGCTGAAATTTTTTGTGTATGTTCCTCATCAAGTCTAGTTCATCCATACCGAATTTGAGCAAAAAAAATCAATGGGAAGGTCGTCAAATGATTTTTGAAAGAAAACTGCATTTTATATGTATATTCCGGACCAATTTTCTTTCAAAAATCATTTGACGACCTTCCCGATTGAATTTTTTGCTCAAATTTGGTATGGATGAACTAGACTTGATGAGGAACATGCACACAAAATTTCAGCCAAAAATACCACCGGTTCTCAGGGGTTCTCACGGGTTCTCATTTTAAGAGGGGTTCTCACTAGAACCCCCTCTCTCTCTCTATCTCTCTCTCTCTCTCTATATATATATATATATATATATATATATTATATCTTATAATGGCCAATGAGGGTTAATAACCTTTTGGGAATAAAAATTGTGTTGGTGTAATAGTTTAGCTATATACACTTGTACATTATTGTCAATGTATAGTACCGTTCTTTTTCTTCCGTGTCTCTACCCGCGTCTTTCCGTTAATTAAACCTGATTCGTTAACGTCACCATCATCCGTTTACTATCAATTCATATACGGAGTACTTCATATATGAAACGCGGGCGTCTAGATCGCTTCAGCATCTCCCTTAGGTAGTTAGGTTTCAGAGCATTCAAACCTGCGGTAGATTAGTTAGGGTTAGATGGACTAAGAATCCACCCAGTCCACAAATCGGCGCTAGCGTCCCTCACATGGCTTCATTTCTCCTCGCGAGTAAGTTGGTAATTTCCTGGATTTCGTGTCGGATCAAATCTGCAACTCCTCTCTCGCTCTTCTTAAGATGCTCAAACAGGGTAACCTAGAGGTTCTTCTCAATCTATCTCAACGTTTAGTGTACTCTTTCGGCTTGCAATAAAAGTTAGGGTTTCTGGTTGACATTGAACAAGGAGAGCTAGAGCTCCTATGAAAGTGATGGGATTAATGTTGGGGGGATTTGTGGATGAGTGTACGGTCCAGGTGGTCGATGTGTTTGCTATGTCACAGAGTGGGACTGGAGTGAGTGTCGAAGCAGTTGATCATGTCTTCAGTTTTCTGATATAGCAAAAGCTTCTGGACATGACACGTGTATACAAATCTGTTAGCTAGCTGTTAGCTGTTAAAAAAATCTGTTAGTAAAGGAACTAGATATAAAATGTAACCGAACAGCTCATTTGTAATCTAGCTTCCATATTCATTCTTCTTCATTCTTCTTGAATTCTTCTGCCAAATTACTCAAGAACACCAGAAACGGACTTGAGGACGAGAACTGTTGTTGTTATACATTAGTTCTTGATTGATACTGTTAATTCGATTCTACTGCTATTCAATCATCTTTAGAATACAGATTTTGCTGTATTAAATTGGTATCAGAGCTGCGAACTGGGAATTCCACCACCATGACGCACACTCGAGCTCAATCTTCTTTGAGAGAAAATGCGGAGATGGAAGTCGAAGAATTGATCAATTCCAGATTGTTATTAATCGAAGAACAATTACAAAGGAAATTAGAAGCAAAGATGGAAGATCAGTTTTGCAACATCAGTTTGAAGATCGATGATGTGCTAACAGAGAAATTTACCAGTCTTTCAAAAGAGATTTTTGAAGCTATGGAATCTTTGAACAACAGAGTTATATCATCAACTCAGGGAACCAGAACACCCCCAAAATCTAGGTTATTCAGCATTAACCAGATTATCTAGACTTGATTTTCCCAGATTTGGAGGAACAAACGTCAAGGATTGGTTATTCAAATGCGATCAGTTTTTTCTCATTGATAAAACTCCAGAAGATATTAAGTTTAATCTGGCTTCCATTCATCTTGATGATAAAGTAGCTTGTTGGCATCAATCAGTCATATCATCTGAACTCAATAGAGGTATAATTCTTGACTGGCCTAGATATAAAACCTTATTACTTGAAAGGTTTGGTGAGGTAGTAGATGATCCTATTGCTGATTTGATGAAATTAAGAGAAACAGATGGAATTGTTGCTTACAATGATAGGTTTGAAACAATTAGAACTAGAGTGAAGATGTCTGAAAAGTATCTTGTCAGTGCTTACTAGCAGGACTAAGAAATGACACTCAGATGCATTTGAGAATGTTTCAACCACAATCTGTTGGTCATTGCTTTACTCTAGGCAAACTATATGAAACAGCTCACCCTAAAATGTCTGTTGCTAATGGGACTTTTAATGGTAATAAGGGAAGTTTTAGTAAAAATGAGGAAATGGGAAGAAGAAGCTCTTTCTTCACTACTCAGAAAGGAGGGAATGTAGTAAAAGAAAGAGAATTGCAGCAATCTGGTGATTTGGCTAAAAATGGCAGAAAATTTTTAACTGCAGCTGAAATGAGTGAAAGAAGAGCTAAAGGTTTGTGTTATCAATGTGATGAACCTTATACTCCTGATCATTATCTCAAACACAAAAAGAGCCAATTATTTCTCATAGAAACAGACGAGGGAGAAGAAGAAATAAACTCAGAAGAGGAGATCATAAGACAAGAAGAAAGCATGCAAGTATCTGTATATGCAGTAGCTGGAGTGTCCAATTAACTGAACAATGAGAGTGAAAGGCATGCATGGTAAGATGGCTCTTTTCATCCTAATAGATTCCGGCAGCACACAATTTTATGGATAAAAGGGTGGCTGAAAAATTAGGATGTAAACTGAATAATCCCGTGGTGGCTAAAGTAACAGTAGCAGATGGAAGCACAATTAATGTATCAGCCAAGATTGAAGGGTTTTCATGGACATTCCAACAAAATCCATTCAAGGCTGATTTCATGGTTATTCCCTTAGGATGCTGTGATATGGTTCTAGGAGTTCAATGGCTAGAAACACTGGGAAAAATATCATGGGATTTCAAACAATTGCAAATGACATTCGAAGTGGATAATAAGAAGGTGGTTTTGCAAGGAATTAATCAAGGATCTATCAGAGATATCAAGGCCAAAGAAAACAATCATGTCTTCCGCAGTGATCATGTCTGATGGTCCCGAATAGAGGTAAAAGTCTAGAGGGGGGAGGTGAATAGACTTTTAAAGCTTTTTCAATTTTGAAACACTTTTCCCTCTAGATGAGTTGATCTATAATCTTTTGAGAGATTAATAGATGCACAACGGAAGTCTTTAACCTCTTTATACTTAGTGTGAGATAACTTTCTTGTTTAGATGGTGTTTAGACTGGTTATGAGAGGAAGTAGGCTTGGCAGTTGACTGGTGAGAAGGTCACTGCTTAGGCTACTGCTGCACATACAGTTTGCTGGCTGGCAGGCAACTGCTGAGTTGGCAGTTGGCTGAAGGGCAGGTTACTGCTGAGGCAACTGCTGAGGAACTGGATGACTCTTGGATGGCTTTTTGTTCTGGCTTGTTATGGAGTTTGGAAAGGCACGTATAGGTGGGCAATGGACTCAGCAGGTGGGTGAGGACCAGGGTACTGCTGAGACACCTTCTGAGTTTAAGACAACTTCTAGTGGAAAACACTCTCAAGGAGAGTGAGTTATTGAGCAGTAGGCTAAGCAGTAGAGTCGATGAAGACTACTGCTTAGAATGCTGCTGGCAAACTACAAACCTTTAGTGAGATGTGTTTGGTGTGTGCTTTGTATGTAAGAAAGTAAATCAACACACCATGTATCCTGGTTCAGAGGTGATGTAATCCTCCTACATCCAGTCCCACCCTATTTCAGATGGATTTCCACTAAAGTATTAAGCCCAATACACTTAGTGCCAATCTAGCCTTGACAACTCTGGCCTAGATTGAAGGTTTTTCACAATGAGTATAACACCACTCAAAGTTACTCAGTCCTTAGACTTTTCTCAATTGATCCAGTGGGGATCAAAAGGTACTCTATCTATCTAACCACACTTTAGGATCCGAACAACTGTTCTCCTAAGTGTTTACAACAACATGAATTTGTTCACAAAGTTTCTAACCTCCAACTAAAACCTAAGCTCTAAAAATGTTACAATGAATGATCTAGTCTAAGAGCTTAGTGAAGCATGAGTCAAAGCAGAGTGTTCAAGCACTTTTTCTTTTGCTGGATATTCGTAGTGTAATGACTGAACCACTTGCTTTGAACTCAATGACTTGCTTTTGATCTCATGCTTCTGCCTATTTTTATAGGCATCTCCAGTAGATTAATCTCCTCTGTTGGTTAAGAGGATTTAATCCTAGACGTCCAAAGTATTGTACTTGCGTCTTCTGAAACTTCTTCACTATTCACCCATTCTTATGTCTTCTCTGCTCTTACATTTGGCCTTGTCTTGCAACTATACTCGTGAAGCTGAGTGCGTGAACCTGCTCAAGAAGTGAAGTAGTAAAATGTGTGACTTAGAATATTTTGTATCAAATAAATTTTGTACTGGTAGGATCTTTGAAATATCCTATTAAGGTAATAAGATTACCTTATTGCATTTTGTTTCTTTCCAGTACAATTTATTTGGTACAAATTTCACAGTAAAACTTGTCACTTATTTTACTAATCACTTTCTTTCTTTGAGTGACATAATTAAACTTATGTACCGAATTAAAACTATACTGGTTGGATCTAAATATCCATGTAAGGTAAATAATTTTTACCTTATTGCATTTTATAGTTCCAGTATGTTTAATCTGATACATAGTTTGTACATTGGAATTCTTGTCACTTTTAAGCAATAATGCACGAATTAACTTAGACACAAAATACTAGTGCAAAGTATAGTGGCATCATCAAAATCATCATAGTTGGGTCCTAACAATGTCTCCTCCTCCTCCTCCTTTATTTTTCTTTTCCTCAAATTTTTCTCCTTCTCCATCAAAATACTAAAAGCTTAATTGTAATTTTATAATGGCCATCATTATAATTTTAGAAATAATCAGAATTATATATGCTACTGTATATTTTAACACTGAAATGTGCATTTTTTAATTTCATAATTATTCAATAAAAAATCAATGATGAAAACATTGCTCATAACAATTTAATTCATGTTTCACTAAACTATCATGTAAATAATATCCAGAGTGTAATGTTTTGACTGTGTTGGTATGCCGGAACAAACATTATGGTGGAGTGTATACACAGTTTTCATATCAACGGAGTCTAACCAGGGGCGGCCCTGGATATTCGAAGGCCTAGGGGCGAACAATAAAAAAATGGGCCTAATTTTAAAAAAATGCAAAATAATAATATTTAAATACCTTTAGAATAAAGAAAATACTTTAATTCGTTAAATTAAACATAGTCGAATAATGTTTTCAAAATAACCGAATAAAAAATTATTTAATGATAAATAACGCCCCGATACAATACACTTGCTAAGGCCGGTGTCATCAACTATAGCGTCATAATCAAGCTTTTCTAAGACATTATTATGCTCAATACTTAATATAGCTAATCAATTAGTTAAATTTATAAATTTAACTAATTGGACTGCACGTTAGTTCTTCCTTTTTTTCAATTTTGGGCCTTTTGCGTTCTTGGGCTTCCTGAACTTGTACAAAATTATTAATTTTGGGTTAAAACTCAGCCTACTCAAATATACTATAAAGAAATAATTCTGGGCCTAAAAAATTTTCATTTTTTTTGGGCCTAGGGCACCCGCCCCACCTGCCCCCCCAGGGCCGCCCCTGAGTCTAACGATCATTAAACCCAAGGCAAACTTTATGATACCCTCAAAGTATCGTACATTGTCCATATTCACTAATAAGAATATTATAATTGAATAATCAAAATTTAATTTAAATAAATGATGAAAGAATGATTTGGACCAATCAAACGCATGATAGATAGAATACGCCTATTTTTATGTGGTTATTGGTTACCATAACAATCACCTAAACTTAATTTCAAAATATGTCTCCAACTTTTAACACACATCTTTTCTTAATGTCTTAAATATGAATAAAAACGTTTCAGAATTTCAAAATTGGGGTGTTACATTTTTATTCCTATTTAGAGTATAAAAATGTAGCAATTCTAATTCCCAAACATTATATTTTAAATCCAATTTAAAGCCAATTTCTTATACTTTTAAAATATTGTTTATATATAGAAGGCAAAAGGCAAATTAAAATATACTTTCTTTTTCTTTATATAAAAAAACCTAAAAAGAGATATAAAGGGCAAATTCTATATTGTGGAATCATTCAATCATTGTTTTTGGAATGGGGGTAAATCGGCCATACTCATGTGTCGTACAATACAATACGTTTGGGTAATAAAATTCAATGCATTTCATCGATCAAAACTATTCGTGTTTGGGTATCCAATTTTGTGTCCAATGTTGGATTTGGATAGGTTAGGTATATAGGAAGCGGTTAAGAAAACACAATAAACTATTCAAAAGCAATCACAACATTTTGGTCATTATGTCATCCAACTCAATTTCTGTGTATTTTTATAACTATTCAAGTTTGGTCTGGTCTGGTTTGGGACGAATTACAGTCCAAGTAAAAGCATTCTCACTTGCGATTCATTCAAAATTTATAATGGAATTAAGATCGTAAAAATAAAAGAGATCTATGACTCGCCCATAGCGTTGTGACTTATAGTAACTTATCCTTATCTTTAAGTAACTTATAGGGATACTTCAAGTTTTACGAGAGACCATCTCTCAAAGTGGTTACCTATCATTTCCGTATTTGAATATGATAAGATGCATTCATGCTTCTAATAAATACTGCTCCGATCATAAGTGGCTAGAGAAGTTAGAGTTGCATAGTACAAACTACAAAGGTTATATGACTATTAATTCAAAGCTCCAATATATGAAAATTTATAGGGATACGTTAATACTATCCCCGGGCAGTGATGTAAAGCAAGTAATTTAAAATGGTAAAGACCTGAAATCAATTGGGTTCGGGCAACGATTTCCAGACCTGAAATGACTATTCTCTCATAATCTGCGCAAATTATGTTGTGGGGATGGTAAACCATGCGTATGATATACCAATCCTTATTTGGCATCGTTTTCTCTTCTTCCCAACTGTTCAACAACACTATAGAAGCTCTTTCGTTTCCCTTAATTGCTTTGTGATTACTTTTTCTTTATTTTTCTTTTTTATTTCATTCAGATTTTTTTCTCTCCATCAAAATACTAAAATTTGATTGTGATTTTCCTTATCCTTATCTTTAAGTAATTAAAATACAACTGAATTTACATTTTT